TTTATATCTAAGGATTGAAAATTTAGCACAAGGTTCCATGGACTTTGTTATAATTTATAAATTTATTTATTCACAATAATATATCATCAATTTTTTTTTTATAATTTATAACTTTATTAAATTTTGTGTTATATATTTTAAGTCAATATTGTAGATTATACTGCGTCATGAATGTGCAATATTATTATATTTTGTTGTTTTTTGTGAGTTATGTGTTTAGAAATTAAATTATAATTATTTTTATTGCAATAAATGATTTATCATACCAGTGGTGTACCTCTACAGAATTTTCGTAAAATTGATTAAAAAATAAAAAACTCATTTCAAATTAGTAAATTTTTATATTAATTTAATTTGTAAATCACAATAAAAGTTCTTATTTTTAGATTCTGAGCGGAGCGAGGAAGCTAGTGGTTTTACAATGGTGTTTATTTTTTTTTTTTTATTTTTTTTTTTATATCCTGTATACAAAATTTCTACCAGAAGGAGTGCTTTGATTTCAACATATAGTACCTTATCTTTTAGCAAATTAGACCAAGATGGTACTTTAGAGAGGTCATTTTTCGATTTTCACAATAGTTATATAATGCCACGGGAAAAACCACCGAAAAATTACGAAAAACCATTTAAAATCGGATTTTAATTTCTAACGCTTTGTTTATCACCATAGAAACGAATAAAAAATTATAATATTAATTCAACTTACATGATATAATAAATAATAACTATATAAAATATGCAGACTGACAAACCGTCTCGGCTCAGAATCGTTTTTCTTATACAATGATATTATATCATTGAATTCAAGTTTAATACAATCCATTATACAATGACCCACTTGTAACCTACTATACAGCAGACCGACATCCACTTACCCGCTTTTTTAGTTTTTTCCTTCCAACTCAATAATAATAATTACTTCTGTATGATACAAAATAAATAACATTTTATAAATTGTATACATTTTAAATAGAAAAAAGCTTTCTCGCTTAGCTATTAATTTTAATATATACTTTGTTACGGATTCAACCCAAAATAAAAAATAAAATGTATGAATATTGTGTAATACAATGCAAAATATTTATGGCTTCATAATATTTAAAATTCCCGATGGTTATGAGTCTGGAATCTGTGTTGTCGATTTCTTTTAGTTTCTTTTTCTTAGTTGTAACACAAGTTCCCTCTTTTCAGCAATCTATAAAATAAAATATAACTAAAATATAAACTATTTTCATAAGTAACCAATATATAGGATTTTCCATCTAACTTAAGATACTCGTTATTTCAGAAAATAAATGTTTTTGAAATAAATTTATTTACATTATATTAACTTGTTACAAAACAATATTTTTTAACATATATATATTATACCATAAGCCATTTTAGGTTTTTTTAACCTAAAACATACATTTTGAATTACATAAGCATAATATTATATGAAGTGTCTCCACATTCATTTGTCAGAGTTATACTTATAACTGGAGCACGGAATTGTATGCATTAATAACCAACTATAAAGGCGCTAAAAAATCTTAAAAATGCATAAATAGTGGACACGGATGTCAAAATACAACATTAGTCATACTTAACTTTAACTTAATACCTACTTCATTTTCAATAGATAATTGTGGAAACCTATTTATAATAATGTTTTCTAACTCATCTAATAATCATAAAATTCATGTTGTGGCATCATTAAATTGCCAAACATTGATTTTTCTGAATTTTCATATGCTTTGAAATAACAAAGTAAAAAAGTCATCCAATTTTTTTTGTGATTTTCCATAATGAATACACATTTTGCAACTATGTGTTTCAATACATTTTTTCATCAAAAACCCACAAACATAAATAAAAGCATTTTTCTCAGGCATTGATAAATTACTATAATCTGGGGTATCTATTTTAAGTGTATTTTTTAATTTAAATGGATTTTTATCCTGAAATATTATTTTTAAGGTTTCGTCATTAAAAGGATCAGTACTTATTTTAGATAAAATTAAGCGGAGTAGTCATATACTTACTTCCACTTAAAGTAGGTTAGAACATTTCATAGAAAGTGAAAAGATAAATATATAATTAAAATATTAAACAGCAATATGACTTTAATTGGCCTATGGTTTTTTTTACACCTAATAACAGATTAATTATTAGTAGGTACTATAAAATATGATGCCTATTTTTCATTACCATTATATCTCAATTAAAAAAAAAAAAATAGAAAGAAAGACTTTTGTATTAAAATGTTGTTCTTAATTATGTTTATAATTTATAATATGTATTTATTTTTAATTGTTTATAATAAAAATTGTAATTTATTTGTAATTTACCTGCACTCTAACATTTTTTAATTGTTTAATTTTTTATATTGTTTGATATTGTGAAAAATTTAAATTAATACGTTTTGAGACAACAATTTGCATATTTTACTTTTCTATTACTTTTACCAAAGAACAATATTATCAGTATTGAGACAATGAGTTGCAATTGAAAAGTTCACTGAGCTTTATTCAATAATTCAAATTTCAATATTATGGTATGAATGTATATACAATAAATTATATTTTGAAAACATTTTGACTCTTTTCGAGCGGTTAAGTTAAGTTATAAAGTTTATTTTTTTTATCTTTTGTACTTAAATAGTTACTTTTGGCTTTTAATTAACCTCACTGTTAACTTACTAAATTTTTTTTTTAATTAACGTGAAATTACCTAACAAATTATTTTTTCATTTTAAAAAATAAGTTATGTTATTTTTTTTATAATTTTATTATAATTCACTATTTCAGTCTATTTCATTGTCATGTCAAAAAATATTCACAGTGAATTGTTTAAAGTTAAAAATGTATATTCATATTTATTCAAATCTAACTTATATGGAAATACTGTGTACAGTATAAATATTATAGTCTCTAATTTAGTTTTATGTTGGAAAATAATTAAGTATGCTAGCCTTGTATAAACAAATTAACTTTTTTTTATTTAATAAAAAGTTAACAAAAAGTGTGTATTAACGTTTAACTCAACTGAGTTAACCTATCATTAAATTGACTTTTAACTTTTTAACTTAACTTAAAAAAAATCATTAACTTGCCCAGCGTTAGTAATACCTTTTAAAAATTTTATACTTTACAGGAAATCAGTTTTTTTAGGTTTATATTATTGGATAAACAATGTGGGTACTAATAATTTATTTACTAAATGGTATTTTTACACAAATTTGTTATATTATTACTCATACATTGGGCATATAAAAATAAAATATTCACAAAATCAAACGTTTTATTTTTTATAAATCCTGAAAATTTTTGATTTATAATTAATGATAACTAATATTAGACCGATAATAAATTTGTATAAATATTTTACTTTTAGATACCGTGTGGCTTCCTTTTTTTTTTTATAGGTAACTCAAATTCTACTATTTTTGATATAAAATAAAAACTGTTGTACCCCACTCATCTAAAATGTATGATAGAATATATAATATGTTAGAATTAATAAATAAATAAAAATATATTCATAAGATATTTTACATAATATTGTTTAGTATGTTTAAAAGAAAAAAAATGTCAACGAGATACAAATTTGAAATTTATTTTATGTTACATATATTTGCAAAATTTAGTCGATTTGATTTTCGAGCCATATTTCTTTATTTATGGATTTTTTGGTACTGGTCTTGTTGACCCCTGCCAGGAAGGCAACTCCCCCGCAGCCCAAGTTTAGTTAACGCCCGCCACTTAAATTTTGTATTTTCGATAACCAATAATTTATATAAAAATGTACGATTAATAATACACTATACATTTATTAAAAATTATACATTTGTGATTATAAAAAAAATTATACATTTATGATTATACAGACCAATTCAAGCGATCAAAATCAAAATATATAAAAAAAATATGGTAATAATAAATAAAAAATAAAAATTATGCAGGGGGCCAAAACTCTGCAATGTCCAGAATAATTCATGAATAAATGTTTAAATTAAAAAATAATAATAATAAATTATGAATATAAATTATAATAAAAAAAAATAATTATTAAATTCCGGATGGTTCTGAGCCTGGAGTCTGTGTTGACGATTTCTTTTAGTTTCTGCCATGGTTTTTTCTTATTTGTAATACAAGTTCTCTCTTTTCAGCAATCTATAAAATAAAATATAACTAAAATATAAGATATTTTAATAAGTAACTAATATATAGGATTTTCCATCTAACTTATGACACTCGTTATTTCAGAAAATAAATGTTTTAATATAACAAAAATAAAAAACTCACTTAAATACCGCATAATCGTAAAAAAAAGAACACCATAAGAACACAGATAACTATTTTATAAATATAAATGGACCAGAATAATACTGATGTCTTATTATAAGCATTGAATTCCTAAAAAAGAGAATCCAGGACGTAGAAGACCAAGGCCCTACCAATAAGGAAAGCATGGAAAATCATAAAAAAGATAAAGATATCAAACTGTATTGACAATACTTATTAAAAATATTAATACTTATTTACTGACCAGCATATTTTTATTACTCATATCCTCATTGTTTCTAGTAAGTCTAGATGACCGTCTTGGTGATTTAAAATTATTTACAACAGCATTTCCAATATGTTCCTCTCTGTAAAATTCAGATTCTATGCAATCACTTTTATCATAATAAGCCAAATTTTTAGATTTTTAAATAAAAAAAAATCTAGTCTAATACTATATTCATTAACTCACTTTATAATATTTTGTCCCAATGGTAAAGTTACGTTATTTCCAGTTTCGACATCATTCATTTGACTAGCATAACTATATAAAAATAAAAAACTGTTGAATATTAAAATTAAAATTATAGAGATCCAGAAGTATTACTTAGAAGGAAAACCATTTCATTCATAAGGTTGGGGAACAGCATTTGAAAATAAAAATGGCTTTTTTCCTGGCTTATAGTTTTTTTCTAAAAATGATCACTACATTTATGTGGCGAATCATGACAATGATCAATTCCAAAAACTTGAAGCCATTTCGTTCTCATGTATGCATTCATGGGAATTCTATATTAAAACAAATATCAATCAATACCATAAATTGCTAATGTTAGGTTGGGAACACAAAGTATAAATTACTAAGCTAAACAGGTTGAAAATTATTTCACAGTATCCCGCACCAGGATAATGAACCATGTCAATAAAATGATTCAAAAATCCATGTGCGTTTTTTTCACAACAGTTTGAGCGATTAAATTTCTAGAACATATTGATACTCACCCATGATAAATAACTCCTTGACGATTGACATTGGTGACTGGTGTTATTAGATGTATTACCGCACACTATACACTTGTGCATTTGTAAAACGAGACCAATAACTGCCACAAGTCGGGTATTGAAGTTAGCCTAATCAGTAGACAGTTATCTGTATTGTGGGCAGTTGGAACTTAGAAAATATAACTCGATCAATGGCCTCGATCACTCAGTCTTGGAATGTATACGACACCTGTATTCCGGTATCCCGTAGACCGATGATTGTGTTTTGAGGTGTAAGTTTTCTCGTGGCAGTCATCTATAGAACAGTTGGGTGGTTAGGCATTGCCATTGCGTGTCGTATTTTTTAAAGGTATATTATGCTTAAAGTATAATAGTATAATACATACATAATAATGTCTACTGCAATCTCGCCGAGTACTGTACAAAGCACATGGATGAAACCAAGAAAAACTTAACTTTTTGATTTCACGGTCACGAATTTGATGAGATATTATTTGTATTATAAAAAATGAATGTCTGAAAAGCGCCGATTTATTATTTAGCCAGACAAAGTGACAAACACGCACGGCAAAGAAAAATAATATTCTCAATAACCTAAATTGCGACGTAAACAAAAGACAACCGACTAGTGATAAGCGCAACTCCTGTAATCACGGTCTTGGATTATAAATCAGTAAAGAGTAGGTACTTTTGTTCGTTCCATCGGTACATAGTCACAGATTTCCTTATAATTATATAGATTTAATAGATTCATATAATATATCTTAATTCGTGACTCCGGCCCACGAGATTCCATACGTAAACCGCGCATCGATATAGTAATACGTGACGGCTAATTCCCACTATTCGGCAACATGCAGATGCGCAGAGACGGACGCGTTTGGACATATGGACTCTCGTGGGCCGGAGTATACACGACGACGACGACGACGAACAAAAAGGATAGGTTGCAGCAGTGCCGCAACTAAGGTTATTATGGCCGGGGTGCCAAACCAAATAATAGGGCCCCTTACTTTCTAAAATTTTACGAAATATTTTCATAAAAAATATATTTGTAAACGTTAAGTAGGTATCCATCACCATTTAAATTTCTTTTTAACTAAAAAAATACAAATTTACACTAGATAAAAATGGTTGATATAGGTACGTTTAAAATTATAATAAAAAAATCAAATATTTATGTTTTTCATATGTTTACATATTATACATAATACATATATTTGCTTATTTACACTATTATACAAAATAGTAAATACATTTAAAATTATAAAAAAATTACATATTTATAATATTAAAATTACTTAAAAAAATTTTTTTTCTGCTTTTTTGATTGGCAAAGTCTAAAATTAATTTTTCTACATCAAGTTCTTCAGTGCGAGCTCTTTCTATATTTAAGATACTTATGTTGGTTAATTGGTCTTGAGATATTAGTTTCTTATTCAGTAAATAGTTTTTAATCAATTTAAGTTTAGAAAATGATCGTTCGGCCGTTGCAACAGTCACTGGTAAACTTAAAAATATAATACAAGATGTAACAACTTCACTATACAAAGATGATAGGTCGTTTTCTATTAAATATAAACATAATTCTTTAATTGTTTTCATATCAGTGTTTTTATAAACTCCTTCAAAGATAGAACTTGACTAGTTAAATCGGAAGTTATGTCAGTTTTGTAAAACTGAATAAAATCATAGCATGATTTTACTATTTCTGCTTCATTTAATTTTATTATATTTGGTTTCAATAAAAAATTAAAAGTATTTGATACTATTTTAAGTCCTTTAAAACGATCTTCGAGTTGAAATAAAGCAGTATCAACTAATGGTAAAAATACTGAAACATAAAATTTTTCCTCTATAATATCCTGCAATCTCCTGTCACCATCAACTTCACCAAATAGTTTTTTAGAATACATTTTTCGTTTATTTTCATTCTGAAATTGTATTCCCCATTTTAAACACATATTTTTTGCTGATTCTACCAGTTCTTCATAATTATGTCATAAATTCAATAAATATATAATTCATCATATTTTTAATTGAATTAATACCAATTTGCAAAAACTCACTGGCTTGATGGATACTGATTTGTGAGCACTGTAACATCTTGGATACCACAGATAATGGTTTCAAAACATTTTCCCAAATAATTATAAGCAAAATAAACCCAAAAGATTGCATTTTTTTAAAAAGAGATTTTGCTCTATTTAATTCATCACTTTTTTTGCTGGTTAGTGAAATATTTGTCAAAGATTTCAATACATTAATAAAATTTTCTTTTAATGCATATACAGATGAATGTCTAGCTTCCCATCTTGAATTACACACTTTTTTCAAAACTTTTTTTTGTATTTGATTTGCTATATCATTACCAAATGCTAATGATGCCCATCTAGGTGCACTTTGGTTGAAAAACAAATATATATTTTGAACTATATCAAAAAATGTAGAAATTTTTAATGAACTTTTGGCAACATCAGCAATTACTAGATTTAAGTTATGAGCCGTACAATGTACATATAAGGAACTAGGAACTACATCAGAAATCCTTTTTTGTACCCCTGATTTAGCACCGCTCATAACTGAGGCTCCGTCGTAGCCCTGTCCTCTACATTTTGTAATATCTAAATTATATTTTTTTTAAATATTAAGTAGTTGAAATGACCTTCTGCGCTATGATTTATCAATGCATAAAATCCTAAGAACGATTCCTTTATTTGCACATTATGTTCATTATAATTCACAACAATATACCTCAGTATCACAGAAACCTGGTCAATTTTAACTGGTAACATGTTTGTTTCAACAGAACATAATATATATTTTATTCATAGACACCCTTTATTATCTATATTAGTTTCTAATTTTCTATGTAATAATTCTAAGTATTTTTCAATTATCGAGGGCCCCTTCGGGGCCCTCTAAATTCTCTACTGGGGTGCAATGCACCCCCTGCACCCCCGGTAGTTGCGGCACTGGGTTGCAGGTAGCTGGAAACCCGCGGGCCGCACAATATGTATTGGCGGTGAATAATTATAATTGTTAATTACTCCACTAAAACGCAACATTTTTGAAAATCCTTTCTTAATGCACGGTGAAAATATGAGAAGAACCTCTATTCCAAATTTCAAGTCCGTACGTTGCGTAGTTTTTGAGATACAGCGATCAGTGAGTGAGTGGTATTTGGATTTTATATGTATAGATTTCCTTAAAGTCCCCAACAGTAGGAATTCTGTTCGTTCTACCTCCACGGACGCCGTACGATTCTACGATCTAAAGCATTTACACAATAAAAATTACACACGAACGATATATTATTACGTAGGAATGAATAGATCGGGAAAGTATTCAACGGGAATAAAAAAAGTCGGAATAATATTAAGTAGATACTTAGGTAAAAGTCTGGAAATTATTAGGTACCTACGCATGAAAATATTTTACGGGAAAGTAGGCAATAAAATAAATTACAAAATAACATAAATAAACCTAACATTCAAGCCCGCTTTAAGGGGGGGTCCAGGGTGGTGGGCATGGCTATAAATATTTAGAATTTATTCAGGCGCCTCAGATATGCCCATTACGATTACTTTTTTCGTTGTAGGCTATAACACAGCATTAATCACCTAAAAAAAATGATCAGGAAATAAGCTTGTAAATTATGTATAACTTATAAATAAAGTGATAGGCACATTATTCATTATTTAATGCCTGTGTAGTAAGCCAGTTACTACGGGACAAATACCAATTTCATAGGTACATAGTTATTACTTATTATTATAATATACGATGGACCGGCATAACCCGCAGGTAATAAAAAATAAGGGTTCGAAAATAAACGTTGTAACATTTGACAGAAACAAATACCAAAATCATAAATCACGAGTGTAAAGTCATTATAATATATAATAGGTCGGAATAACCGGGTATTAAGTACAATGGGGTCAAAATAGGCGGTTGTCATATTTGACAGGAATACTGGACGCATACGATGAATTTAAAATATTGAAGAGTAAAATGACTAATCACAAGTTAGTAATACATTCAATCAGATAAATATTCAATCGTCAATGCGTGGGCTAGAATGATGACTATACGAGTGACATCCGTGAGAACGGAGATATCGTATATGTAGGCAAGGGGTACGGGGAATCTCATATATAAGGGAGCCCGAATCGGCCTGTATTCAGACGTGTACTACCACCCATTAGTGCAAGCACCTTCACGCCACTTTGTACAACATTATTTTGGACTTAGAAAATTATCGAACGTTTTAATAAAATCCCACAATATTATATCATACTTCAACTGTCTTATTATTATTATCATCCACGACTACAACATCACCAAATAAAGTGTCTGCGACCTGCATCTATAATAACTTGGTAGCCACTTATCTACTGTCAGTACTACGATAGTAGGTACCCAAGCACCAAGATTATTACACCTGTGTACTTGGTAAGTATTCTCAGGGCCGTCCCTAAGGCAGGGCGAGCGGGGCCCTCGCCCTGGGCCCTGCGCCTTCATCAGTTGGACAGGCCCCGCTTTTGTAGATACCATAAAAAAGTCAAGTTAATGAGAAAAAAAAATTATTATTTATATATGTTTATATCTTCAATTGCTGTAATTTTTACTACCTATACCTACCTACTTATATTAATTGACATCAGTCGTCAAATAAATGTATTGCATTTTAAACGAGTTAATATGATTAAAATACAATTTTCAAAGTTGAAAATGATAAAAATCTTCATAGCGCTCTGTCCCCCCAAAAAACACCAACTTAGCTATATAGAATATTTTTTAAAATTATCCTCGATAAAATCTTTTTCATTTAGGAAAAAATCTTGATAATGTAATGATAGGTTCCTTATAATTTTCATTAATGGAAGTTTTAAAAATACATAAGCTCAATTATTTGTCATATGCTTAGAAAGTTCCAATTTTGACAAAATTAAATAAAAGTTTTTTTTCATACCTAACTTAAGACATTTTAATAGAAGGTTTCCCACAAGTTTTTGTACCTCTATCAAACTTAAAAAGTTCCCCAGAATGTCACGTTTTCGATCTTTGTTAATTTTTTT